GCCTTTCCCATCCTGTGGGTGCTATGAAACATCACAGGCCAAAATGGTAGATGTGCTAAAGTGCATTTCAAGGACATCATGTGACACATTTTCGTAGTTTTCAAACCATTTGCTAAGCCTCACTTTTGCTACACCTTTCCATTCTCGCATTGGCACATTTACAATGATAAGATAAGATTAATTAATTAATCGTTGGCTGATTAGCTGATAGCTAATTAACAGATGAGTTGGTTGAATGCTCTGAATGTCTCTCTGACTTTTACCTTAACAGAGGTCATAAATGTGCACTTGATGACTACATATACTAGGAAAGTTGAGCTGACGATCTATATAAAAGACATGAGCCTCAGCTAATTAGGAAAAATGTTTAGCTATTTTAACATTCAAACATAACACAGCACTGTTTGGCTGCTTGATTTTAGGATGCCGATAACAAATTTGTCCGATAGACATAACATTATCTCGGGTAACAAGTTTAAATTGTACCTATTGTGGCTGGCAAACTAGTTAACTGAACATGCTAACGATTTCAGCTTATTCAGCAGATAAACTGTACATTACTATATATTTTTGCTATTGAGTTTTTGGTTTTGGAAAAGCAAGAAAAGAAAGACAACACCCTCCAAACTCTATTTATAGAAGAGTATCATGTTCAGTTTGCTGCTCCCAGTGACAGGAACCAGTTGCAAAAGTCACTAAAACTGCACACCCTTATTCCATTATCCTCTATTAATAACTCAGTACATGTGTTTGTTTCTGATCACTGCACCTGCTTTCGAACCCACTTCTTTGGAACAGTAATTTGATCTCCGTTGTGTACACGCTGTATATATTGTGATGTTTATTGCAGTAGCTATATGTATGTTTACCTGTTTACTTGGTGTTGTTAGTTGCCTCCTGTTGCTGCCTCGGAAAAATGCTAATGGTTTTAGCAGTCAATTGCTGAGGACTTAAAGTAGATAATATTTTTTCAAAACATGTTGTTGATGAAAACCCATAATGGTAATGTGCATTTTGGGTTCACATTAAAGGAATCTCACACTCAAAGCCTTAATGATTCACTGATGAATAGCAGCCATGAATTCTTTATTCATATCCTTTGACATGTGGCAGACAGTGCAATTACCATCTGTCTGTCTTCAGTCCCCAGTTTTGCATTTTCAGCAGCTGCTGTGCACCACATTGACCCCAGTGCTTGCCAGTAAAGCCTGTGCCAACTTTCCTTGGATGATGCAAAGGTCAATGGTGCGTTAAACAGAAAAGTTACTATGGAGGGTCAAAACAGTAACGCCATTTAGTTTTATCTAGTCTGTCTTGTCTCAAGTCTGTCTGAACTGTAAAGCAACAAACTCAAATTTATCACTTGCACACACCACCGCAAAGTTGCCAGTAAGATTTGATTGGTGGACACACAGGATGTGAAAAAAACCATTGCGTATATGCAAGTCAGCATGTTTGACAGCTGATTCAATCCACCTGGCAATGACATAAACCCTGTCTGTGTTTCATTAGCAACCATCTCTCCATGGCTATTTCAGATCAAAGCCAATAGATTTGACATTCTCCATGTTCACTTACAGTAGTAAAAATCCTTTGATTCTCATTTGTTTGCACAAATCACCGTTGTATTCTGCTAACAGCAAAAAAGGAAAGAAAACACCATAAAACATGTAACAGAGGAAACATGAACTTCACATTGCCAGTCAATGCTGTCGGACCTTTAAATACCCCTAAGCAACCTTCCCCAGTCTGCACAGTAGGGCCTCCATGACCCACATGTGTTAAAGACAAATATAACCCTCCGCTACCAAAGCTGCTACCTCGAGAGCAGTCTGTGTCTGTTTCAGACTGCTGCTGAAAAGTCACAGAGGTGAGAGGAGGGCATGATTCTTGCTGTGCTAATCGTTGGAGAGGATGTGAAAGAGGAAGGGCTTCGGCGCGGTCACAGATGGAAGTACTCACACACACACACAAAAAAAAAAAAAACGTGATCCATTGCGAGTCAGGTCTATCGTGATTTAACGCTGAAGGGAAACTATTCATTTTAGGGTATAGGTCTATAGCCCATGATCACCACCTACATAACCCACTGTGAGTCACAGAGAGATAGGTGGATGGATGGAAGCAGGGAGAGGTGAAGGGAGGTGAGGGTAGTTGATATAATGCATCACAAACGCAGAAAAATGGCTTCTTGGAGATTTAAATGTTCTTTTTAGCTCCTGCTGCCGAACTCCCTTGCTTTCTTGTATGAATCAATGTGATGAGTCAGTGTCTATTTTGTCTACACACCCATTTAGATGCCATATGTGGCCCCCTTCATCTACAATGCAACGCTTTTGGTATGATGCACTCGTTACCCACTCACGAACATCGCCGCCCCTCCCTCTCCATTTTCCTCCACACCATGTGTCACAGTATGTCTGGGAACTGAGCGGCAGCCCTGTGGAGGAACGAGGATGAAGACTTCAAACTGGCCGCTGACTCATTCTATTTGACACACTGTTAGAACTGAATAAATGATACTGTTGATGTGGCTGTCCTTTGTAATGCGGTAAAGTGAGCGCGAGAGGATATTTTCCAGATAAAATAGGATACAAGATGCTACGCGCACAAAGTTTGAGGCCTGAAAATCACCTGTGATCATAGTCATTCTCCCCAGAGGTTTTGTTCGCTCTAGCAGTTTGGGGAGGGCTGACTCTGCATCATAACCTTCATAAATGTCACCTTACTATAGATTCTCTGGGTGAACTAGCCTGTGTCGAGTTAATTTAACCAATGTTAAAGGAGTAGTTTGACATTTTAAGAAGAGTGACAGGATTGTTACCACTTTCTTATAAGATATTTTTTTGGCTTTTGCTGCCTTTATTAGATAGGAGCAGCTTAAGAAAGTCAAGAAAGCTGGGGGAGAGAGAGAGGGGGGATGACATGCAGCAAAGGGCCGTAGGCTGGAATCGAACTCGGGTTCGCTGTGGTAAGGACTCAGCCTTTGTGCATGGGGCATGCGCTCTACCATGTGAGCTCAGATTGCTACCACTTTTATGTCTGTATGGGAAATTTGAAGCTACTGTGAGACGGGTTAGCTTAGCTTAGCATAAAGAGTGGAAACAGATGGAAATAGCTAGCCTGACTCTGTCCAATAGTAACAAAATCCACCTGTCATAACCTCTAAGCTCACTAATATCCTGTTTAATTTATACAAAAACCAAAGTGTAAAAACCTTTGAGCAGTTGCCAGGCAACCACTAGAGATCTCGGGAACTTACTGTGCGTAGCGCCGACATAAAAATGGTGAATTGTTGTTTTTTACGCTTTATTACAAATTAGATATAATTTGTTAATTAGTGAGTTTTAGAGGTGCTGGTAGGCAAAGTTTGTTACCCTCCAACAGAGGCAGGCTAGCTGTTTCCCCCTGTTTCTAGTCTTTGTACTAAGCTAAGCTAACAGCTGCTGGCTATTTACCGTAATAGGCAGAAATGAGAGCGGTATCAATCTTCTCATCTGCCAGAAGGTGAATAAGAGTATTTTCCAAAATGTTGAACTGTTCCTTTTACCTATGAATTTTCCATTATGATTGAATCCCCAGTTTTGCTGCAGATTCGGTCCTCCTCTTCTCGACCCCTTCCTCTCTCTCAATAAACAGATATCACAGAGTTAGACCCGGGAACAGTCGAGTGCGGCAGCTGACACGGGGAACCTGATCCCTGGGCTTTCCATCAGCACAGCTTGTGCACTGCAGACATTCCTGGCACACGGGGGTCATCATATCTACCGTCCTTCTACCTCAGCTTGTGCCTTGTTTTCTTTCACCTTCCTTTCCCATTAACACACCAGGTGTGGGGAACAAGTTGCAGAGATGTCTTTTTTGTCCTCCCTGCCATTTTATCAACATTCATCGTCTTGTGTTTCTCATCCTTTCAATTTTATTGTTTGAAATCTTTTCTCATTCTCCTTTTCTGGCTCCTTTTTCCATTGTTAGTATGCATACAGCAACATCGTCACACATGTGGCACAACTAGCACATTAATCCAGACATGATTTTGTTTTCTGTTTGGCCAGCTGACAACCAGACAGGGGGTTAGGGTTTTGGATGGCATATGCAACGATCTCGCCATCTGTATGTCCTGCACCAGAATTAGCAAGACTTTGTAAAATGCTGGTCCAAAAACAGCGACAGCACAGTAGGTGCACTGTATTTCAATTAGGCTACATGACTAAAACCTACATGAAAAGTACAGAAAATTGATGCTTTCCAGCTGTCCAAAAGTCATTGCTGTGGTTACTTACAGTAAATTGCTATTTCAGCCAGAATGTAGTTAATATGCTTTAAATAGAGACTTTTAGTAATCTTTTCCCAGCAGACCTGCCCAGGTGTGACACATATATAACTACATTTTTGCACTTATTGCACATCTCTTCTTCAATCAATATATCGATAGTTATATGACTCAGTATGTCACTTGGTTGACACAGCGGAATATATCACATTAATGAAACATTAACCCCAGTGACCAAGTCCATTTGAAAATGATGCAGGACGTTTTTATTTATCCAAAAAAAAGTTCAGTCACCAACAGCATAGTATGTATTTTAGCATTTTACAGTAAATCGAAACATGACCTTCCCTACTTGTTGGCTGGGACCATATGTCTTGCAAGGAAATGAAACACGTGCAAAATATCAAACAGATCCAGGAACTCTGCAATACCACTAAATGTCACAGCTACTTCCATATACTGCCAGGCTAGAGAATGTGGTGTTACTACTGCAATCTTACATAAAGTTCAGCTCCAGGCTTAAAATAAAAAATAGAAAAAGTGTCACTCAGATTGGTTAGTCAGACCATTTTCCTGCAGCATCTTCACATTCCTATTACCTAAATCCTATAAGTGCACAGAGATGTATGAATGTGGCTCAAGAACAATACCACAGAATCACCAACATACCTCAGAGGCAAAAACATACATAAACATAAAAGTGTACAACCTCAAGCAGCAGACTCACCTTCCAAATAAACAGCCTTGTTGATCCCTCAGCTCTGACGTGTGGTGATGCACAACTATCCAACAGAGTGACAGGTAATCAATCAACAACAGAAATCCTGGGCTAAGACGAGCTGAAGCTGGAGTCCACCTCAGCTGCTGCTGCTTCCCTCCAGAACTAACTCAGTTTGTACAGAGTGGATTGAGTTAGCTGAGGCTCACACAAGCTGTTACAAACTTTTCCCCTGACTGCTCACACCATCTGCATGCTGAGAAAGTCTCCGCTGTGGACAGGATGGCTGTCGCGGTCAGCACAGTCACACATGGGGCACCATTACAGCAGGAGTCCGCCCAGACACATGCACACCCACATGCACTCACACAATCACACACACACACTCTCTCTCCCTACACTGCAGCCTATGCAGTCCTAACTCCTTCAGTCATTCCGGCTGGTGAGACGCTCACACTCTGTCTGAGAAAACTGTGTGTATGTTGGTTACAGAGAAGAGGAGGAGGAGGAAGGAGGGAGGAGAGAGGGAGGGAAGGTGTGTGTGTGTGTGTGTGTGTGTGTGTGTGTGTGTGTGTGTGTGAGAGAGAGAGAGAGAGAGAGAGAGAGAGAGAGAGAGAGAGAGAGAGAGAGAGAGAGAGAGAGCATGTTTTAGGAAGTCTTAAGATGAGAGCTCTGACTGAGCAGTGCTCCAGCAGTGCAGCTGACTTTCTCATGTATTTCAGCTTCTACACAAGCAACTGGCAGCTTTTAAAGCCAAACTCTTCCATGGTTCATAATGTGGAATATAAATCTCAAATTTCCCACGTATCGTCTGTGAGCAATTCAGTATACAAACAAAGAAAGCTGCCCCAGTTTTAAGGTGTCTTCAAGATGACATATACAAATGACTACGTGTATGCAGCTCAACAAACATTTATTCAGTGACACTATCCTCACTTTGGTGCAAACCCAGCTGTATACACACCAGTGGAAAGTGCATCTTGTTTACATGGGAGGGGTCTAAAATGCCTTCTTAATCCATAGACCTACAATGTTTCCTTCAGGAGAACTTGTCTGCCTGAGTAAAGAAGAGCATTTTTCATTTTGTTTGTAATATACAAAAATAGAAATCTTCAATGTCTATGATAAATGCAGATAATATCATAGGTAGAGCCTTTATACGGGTGTGCGGTATTCATGGTTTCAGTAAATTACTGTGTCTGCTAGCCTTTTACAAACTGAGGGATTCTGACATGATCAGTACATTCTTGAGCTCAATCATGCAATTATTGAGCTCCTTATAGACTCTTCACTACCTGCTTAATCACCTGACATAGACTATTTATTTAAGATTTATGACGAAACAACAGGCAAAACTAAATGGAACGATGTCACTCTCTTGCAGATTCCAAAGCATAATGGTCTATAGCTCTAAAAATGAAAATTAAGCAATTATATGTAATTATATGCAAAAATGTTAACTGTTTGGAAATATGAATGGTGTTCCCAAAGAACTGTATACAAAAAATGGTTGGAGGAAGGAGGTTTACTTTTCCTGGTGTTTTATAATCTGAATATTCACTACCAAAAGAACCCCTGTCTATAATATACTGACATTACCAACATGCAGGCTACATATTTATTCTTGCCAATCTTAATGTAGCTATCCCTGGCACGTGTCAGCCACATCCCTTGGTAATGTCCTCATTGCTAATAGGGGAGGGAAATTCCAATCTATGTGGGAGTTGGCTGATGTGTCAACAACAATTACTTCCTCATAATCGAATCATCAGGACGAGTATTAGTTTATTTACACACATACAATATAGTATATGTGAATAGGGCACATCTGACTGGGGTAGTGTGTGTGTATATTGTGATAGAAGAGCGGGTCGAGTAAGGAGAAAGATAGGTTTCACTGCCATGGTGCTGAATGTGGAGGAGGTGATGTCAACAAGCATGATCCTATTTGGGTTATTGAGGTGTTAGAGGGTGAAGTGTAGGGTCAGGCTGAACACATTACCTATTGATCTGTTTGATATATGGGCAGACTCTAAGCAGTGAGGCAGGAGTGAGGTCACTGCCACATTTGGACCTTCTATTAGCATCTGTCAAATGATTGATCAAAGGGGCAGCAGCAGTACATGAATCTGTCCAAAGCTCAAACATTTTTCTAAATGCAGAGAGCATGATCAGATTATATTTGTTGAACTGGTTTTGGGACCACCTGAGTTAAGTAATCAGGATCTTACAAGATGCATTATTGCAAATTTGCAACTTTTTTCTTACACTACAATCTTTTCAAGCAACCTTTTTGGCTTCTGACCCATCAGAAAATAAACCACGACTTCAAATACCTCATCACAGTTGATCACACAATCATATGTAAATTGTAAGCAGTTCAACCAAAGACAAAATTTTCCCTCCAATATCTTGGTCTGAAGTATCCAGTGTTTCATTTTAAAAAAAGAAGCACAATTTAGTACAAAGTTAGAAAAACCTGTGACCTGTCACATTTATCTGGGGACCCTTCTGGGGCTCCTGACCTGAGGTTGGCAGCCATAGAGCATGTGTTCTGCAGCCATCATTATAAAACTTTCACCAGTGTAACTTAACACACTCGTTATTTGCAATGTGGCTGGTAATTTGTAGCTACAACACACTCAAAAATGTTTAATTTTGCATGCTAACTTTGGATTTCTAGGTGAAAGTTTCATAAAATGAAACAAAGATTACATGAAAAGATGAGACTAAACAATAGGCTCTGAGCCATCTGTCCTCAGGCATCCTTCAGCATGTTTTATTGTATTTGCAGGACGTGGAATGCTGAACATGAAACACTGTGACCTTGTGACGTAAGAAGTGACCATCTGTAAACAAACTGGAGCTGCATCCTACTCCCAGGAGATACTCTGGGGGGCCTTATCTGATAGGAGATAACTCATAAGATTAGAATGGATGAATCTTCACAGCGGAAGCCTTTGGGAATAACAGTGTTCTCAATGGGTTTGCTGTTCTCATGGCCTTGCAGTCAGAGGTTTTGGACGGTTGGTGACTTCTGGAAAGATAATAATGAAAATCTTTGGAGGCCTGTGGCAGACAGACAAGAAGCCTTTCCCAGTGGGCCGAGATGACACTAGAGCTGATTCACTTTAATTATAGGATTTTAGGGCTTGTAATGTTGTTGTATTAAAAGCCCAGTGTGTATGATTTAGTGCCATCTAGAGGTGAACCTTTAATATATGATACTCACTTATGTCCCTAGCAACTAGCTGGTGAACAGAGCATTTACCGGCTGAAGAGCCAGCTGAGGAGTCAATGGAGAACAAAACAGACCTACAATCATCAGGTTGTCACAAACACAACTCCAAATGAATGATAATGTGTATCCATAACTGCTGGATGTGTAAATAAGCGACTGTTTTGCCTTATCAACTTAGATTAGATGATAATGTCAGTGTTATGTGTAAAGTTTTTTCTGATGCCACCAACTGGCCAAAATATGTTATTGCAGGTTTAATCACCAAAAGGTGACCTAGGGGTTTAAGGCGTCAACAGTTAAACTCTTTTGAGTCTGAGTGCTGCACGTCACCCCATCTCTCTCTTCCCTCCTTTCCTGTCAGCTCCCTTTGGTCGACAGTTTAATATACAAAAGCATAATTTGATAATAATGAAAGAAAAAAAACATTATTAAACCATAAGACAATTGTAAAGGTAGGTGAGAAGATCGAGGTCATTGACATCCATGAGTAAGACTATTAATAAGCAATTAAAAGTCTGTGTGAGGGAGTACATTATGTTGTTGTTTATTAAGATCACCCCCTACTTTGTTTTATACCTGCTTGTCACGGCTTGTTTTATTTTGTCTCCTGACCTCAGCTGAGACATAGAAATATGGTCACATCTTCTCCTCTTTACATGCTGACTGTTGTTTTGAAAGGTCAACACAAACACTCAGACCCATGCAAAGACGTGTCCGCACTGCTGACAGTATGGCCTGGAGCACTTTTCCTCCGTGCTGTCTGCATTCAACTGAAAAATCCAGTTAACCTTGACTACAAACGTGCACCTCTGCATATGCCAATACAATAGTACATGAGTTACATGTAAATATTTTAATATTGGCTTGTAGTGATTAAGTTGCATTATTTTGCTCTTATTGAGTTTCTCTTCTTTATTACTGCAACAGCCCAGTTTCCCACCAGGGAATGATAAAGAATTTGGAGAGAGCGTACCATGTGAAGAGTGTAAGCTCTCCTCCAAACCGAAGATTTTTCCCTTTCTTGATGCAATATTGCTCTCTGGTGGTGATTTCTAAAACTTCTGGATAAAGAACTTAAACAAGCATGTTTATACCTGTTTGTCTTCATCTTTAAACTTCTGCACATATATTAATACTCATAACTTGAATGTTTTATTCAAATAAACTATTTGTATTATGATGTATGACACTGTTAGCTTGTAATTACCGTTGAGTCAATGCTGTAATATTTCTATCAGACTAATTACAAATAGACAGACATAATTAAGACAATCAAAGTACAATCTCATATAGCAGTATTTGTCAGAGCTTCAGGACAAACTGAATGGCAAATAAATACAAAATAACTGTATGAGACAGTACCTTGAAGGAGCCACCAGAGGTCCATGTGTCACAAAAAAGGGCACTTTTCTGGACTAAATCGCTGTATTACCACTGATACTAGATAACCCAGATATACAAATTGTATCATAGAGTAAAATTAAAGAACTGTAGTTAATGTATATTGGTTTTTTCTTTACATCCTAATCAGTAATCAGTCACATCAGCAGCTACATCTAAAATGCTCTACCTTCCCTCTGAAGTTCCATATCTACCAAACAATCACTGTCTCTGCTTCACACCTTCTTTAATAAATAATGATTAATTATTAATAAATAATGTCTTAGTCATCCAGCACTGCAGCGTTTGGTCGTGATATACTGAACACACACAACAAAGCCCTACTCTAATTTAAACTGAATCACGCAGATGGGTGTGACAATTTTATCCCCTCATTGCATTGTGAACAGCACTGTCAACTCCTTTTGTATTAAATCATGTGTTTTCTGACATGAACAACTACCTTATATTCATTGTGTATGGACAAAAGATTCTGGTATGAGGGCTGGTAAAAAGAGTCCTGATCCAGTATCCAACTCACAGTATACTTATGTGATGTATAAACCTGAAGTCACCAAAGCACAAACACTGAGAATGAACTTTAAAGTGAAGTAGGACACATCTTGTGTCCAGCAGGAAAACCTTTTGCAGAGACACACATTATTCTCCCAAACAGATTATTAATACTAAAAGTCTTTAAAGTAGCACAATAACATGACACTACCTAAACTAAAATTTGGATCTAGTTTTTGGCTTGCTACTATAAGTAACATTAACCCTCCAGGAGGTGTGATAATAAACCTGTTGGGACATGTTCCTCCTCACGTCACACTGACAGTAAAAAGTCAG